ATTTATGCAATTTTAAATTTAAAATTTTAAATAAAAAAAAAATTAATTACGTTAATTAAATTATTTTATGTTTGTGGGAAAAATAAAAGGAATTCCTTCAGTATTCATTTTTTGTTGGTTTTGCTAGAAAACCTGATTGAAATAGTAATAGAAGTCCTGTTCAACTTGTGATTGTTTGTTTTGCTTATTGGGTTTTTGTTCTTCTTTTGGATAGGATGGGGGTGGAGAATTTGGGGGATTTCGGTAAGTATTATAATTATTCATTGTACCAGCATTATTGTTATCGACTAAAAATATGTTAATAAAAAGTATTAATACAAATATTAAATAGAGTATAAAAACAGTTATTACAACAACATGGTGACAACAACAGTAATAAAAGAATCCCTATTAAATAACCGCCTGCTCCACATAATTAGCGGGCAACATCCCAATTTTGCCAGTACGTTCCACTCTGCCGGTCATCCAGCCGGAATCAATGGAATCAACTTCGAAAATAACGTCTCCTTCACGAAAACTGACTTCATCAGTATCTTGTGCCTCATAGTCATACAGAGCCCGATAGACACGCTAAAAAAAGATGAATATATAGTTATTGTTTAATGTTATTCTAATGTTTTTTAGTGTTAGTTTGAACACAACTACAGTACTTATGGACAAATGGGTCTTACTGAGCTATTGTTAATGTATGAATTTGTATATGGTATTAAATGTTATTTTTTTTATTAACAATTTAATATATGTGTTATCTTAAATTTGTTTAAAATGCATAAAATTGTATTACATATTTTTTATATTTTTGTTCCTAATTTATAAAATGATTACTCCTAATTCCTAAAATTGTTTGAGTATTATACCCCTATACCTACCAGCTGTATTTTCCTTTAATCTCTGTTTATTGTTAATGTTGCTTTGCTTCTAAAACAGATTAAAAAAGTAAGCTACTAGATAAGGAGCCTTATAAATGATAATATTGGAAAATTCATAATACAGATTTATTTTAATTTATTATTACTCAAAGACACATCTTATATAAAGGCTTTGGAAGTGTACAATTCTTTAATAAGATTTATGTAGCAAACATCACTGGGTTAAAATGGAAGAGTGTTCTAGGTAAGATTCAAGCATTACTAACTGACTAAAACTTATATGCTAGCTAACTTAAAATTACTAACTAATAAAGTCTTTTATGTATCTATATGCCGCTAAAATTTATTGAATTTGTTAGATGCCAATAAAGTACTACATTTTGAGCTCTACTTTTAATAAAGGATTAATATAATTAGTCATAAAATAAAATAATTTCTTCTATTTCGGCCTCCACCTGATATTACCTCCCTATATATAGCTAAGTAATAACTTGTTACGAATAACTATGTCGTTTCCAAATGTGAAACTCAAATGCAGTGCTATCACATGGTATCGCTCGTCTATTTAGATATCCTTCAGAACACACAAATTAATCTGTGAATCCGGCACCGGCTTTGTTTCAGGAAAATTAGAAAGAATTTTTTTTTAGCATCTATTAAAAAATATGTTAAATTTTGTAGTGTATACTTCTAAACTGAAGGAATTGAATTAATCACTAAAACAAAAGGATCAGAATTGATCAATAGAAAAGGCATAATGACCCAAGAAGATAATGGTAGATCTCATAAATAGCTCTTTTCATATTCATATTCTAATCTAAGAGATCTAAAACATGTGTATTGCTTGTTTTGGTATTTATAACATTTAAAGACAAAAAAATCTTTATCTGAAATAAGGATGTAAGCATGCCAAAAATGATTTTGATCAGTGTTCGCCAGTAAAGATTAGAAAATATATGAACGTAGTATTATTCTAATACTTGTTAGAGTGCAAAAAAAATTGGTGAAAATATAATTATTCACAACACAAGTTCAGAAAATCGGGTATAATTTAAAAAATAAAAGGAAATTGCTTTCCGAACAATCTAATAATTAGGTTATATATATAGGTAGACTGTTTTAAAAACCATATATATAAAACATACATATATTATATATATTATATATTATATACATTATATATATATATATACAACACATATTTATATTATTTATTACTTTAAAAATAACAAAATTATATTCTTATGTATCTTAACAATCTTCTTGATCGTTTTCCTGGGCTTTCTTATTGCGTAGAAAATTTTTAATATTGGTACCTTAATATCGAAATTTTTATGGCGTTATCATAATAAAAATTATATAAAATATAAGGAAATATTATATATAAAAATATATAGGTTATAACGAATTATGATTTGAAATTTATTTATTATTTATTTTACAATTGGATTTACAATTGTTTAGCAGTTATTTTATATATGTATAGTGTAATCTCAATCTATATAACACTACAATTTGGACACACTTTTAATTAAATTGACTTTAAAAATAAATATTTCTGTTCTAATTTTAAGGTACTCCATCGAGTCATTCATGGAGTTATCGAGTCTCAAATGTAAAGGATTAAACAAAAAATAAAATAATATTTAGATAGACAAAAGACTATAGCAAACTGTGTTATAGAAGGTGGGCTCGTTTTATCTCAAAAAATCAGTTCATTGTTATATCACAGAGCTCTTTTAAGGTACGCTAGAATGTCATTGATGCACTCATTAGGGATATTGAAAAGAAATTAAATCAAAAATTAGAATTTTAAATATGGAAATCGAAAAAGCAATTATATGATCACATATTAAAGAGACAGTCGTTCTAAGGTTATCCTAACGTTTAAGACAAAGGTAAGACTACTTCATTATATATTTCTACATTTTATTAATCTAATATAAATATTTACTATTGTTTGCTTTAATATTTTCAAGTGCTCAACTAGTACAAGATGTCTCTGTTAAAATGTAATTATGGAAACTGAAGGTAGTAAACGAAAAGCTTAGTTTTGATTAATATTATAATTATTATAATCATATAATAATATATATATATATAAAAAAGAGGAGTGAGTTAAATTAGGTGAGAATAGGATGTAAAATATAAGTGTGCGCCGTACTATCAAAACCTTTTAGCATTTGAGTTTGACTAAATTATAAAACATTAAAAAGTTAGTTAGTTATGTATATATATTATTTTTTATTTTTTACTTTTATTTCTAAGAATAGCGAAAAAGTAAAATAATTACAAAATTTTCGATTTTTTTATTAGGTATCAACAGATAGTTTAAAAACTGATATAAAAAAATTTTGTCCCGAATGTAACTCCGAAAATGTATAAATTCCTGAAATTTTTTTTTTGATTTGTAATATTTCTAAACATTTCGTTTACGGACCCCTTCTTTTCGAATACTAATGTCTTTTTGAAAAAATAGAAAACATTGAGGAACATTTGGCTTTCAATACATGGAAATATTCGTTCTAAATGAGAATACATTAGATTCGTTTACAGAAAGAAACTGTAAAGAATCATCCATTCTTTTTCATTATATACGGATATGTAATATCTTGATAGTAAAAATTTTTAAAAAATAATATATTAAAATCTATTATTGTTTCAATATTATTGTAATGAGTGGAGAGATAGTAGATAATATTGAAGATGGATTGGTTAAGTTTCATGATGAAGATGGATGATTCTTTACATTATGATATATTTTTATAAATACTAACCAAACTGGTTTTTAATGACTTTTGTTGTTGTGGAGGAGCCTGTTGCATTTGTTGTTGCTGTGGCGGCATTGGTGTTGGTTGTTGGGTCATCTTATTTATCTGCTGATAGTATTGCTGTTGCTTCTGCTGATGATTTTGTTGTTGGTTTTGATGATGCATTTGCTGGTGATGATTTGCTGTAATATTGTTATCAGCAGTTAGAGACCCATAAATGCCATTAGCAGGATCAATGTCAGCTACCGAGCCAATACGTTTTGGGTAAGCAGAATTGGAACCTATAATAATAGATTATAATCATATATATAATATTAAAATATATAATAAAATATCTAAAAATTTCTGTGTGTTACTGAACAAAGCAATTTGCCAAGAATATTTTTAAGTCTAGCTTACATGACACACAAATTACGAATGTTTTCGAGTAGTTTACTTAGGTACGTTATCTATCACCGGGCATACATACACAGTACATACATACACACACATATAATGTTTTTACAATTTTTACACACATGCCTCTATACATGTTTACATGATGAAACTCACCAGAACCGCGGCTATCTGAGCTATAGATAAGTGTGGTACTTTGTCTACCGGTGTTTGGTATTTGACGTGGACCATCGGTCAAAGGATCATAATCGGCAATTTTGCCGATATTTGAGTTGCTCGGATTGCCGCTAACAACGGTTACGCCGTTACTGCTAGTTGTGCCGTTGCTTATAACTCCATTGCTGTGATGCGCTAATGTTGCATTCAATTGTGTTTGTGGTGTAGTATAGTTTAAGCCGCCATTGTTGTTATTATATACGGTAGCTGGATTCACTGCACTATTACTGCTGTTGTTGCTGGCACGTATGTAGTTGTTGTCATATTGATCATAGGCATAGGTGGGCGTATTAACATCATTCACAGCTTGAAGTGCGCCGGTTGGATGATGCGAATTCTGCAAGATGCTTGAACGTAGCTGATTATAACTGTTATTGGGTTGTTGATATTGAGATTGTGGCACCTGCTGTTGCTGCTGTAGCAGTTGGTGTTGTTGTTGTTGTTGCTGCTGTTGGTGATAATCTGCAGTAGGATATAAATGAGAAGTTTGCTTAATAGGTTGTGTTTGTGGTTGTTGCTGACGCAGCGCTTGTGGTTGTTGGTAGTGTTGGTATTGTTGTTGTTGTTGCTGTTGTTGATATTGTTGGTGTTGTAATTGTCGTGTTTGTTGTTGCTGTTGTATGGGTTGTTGCTGCCGATGATTTTGTTGATTATATATTTGTGTTGTTGCTGCTGCTGCTGCTGCTTGACTACTTTGTGTGATTGCTGCCGTATTATATTGTTGGTGTTGTATTGGTGGTGGTGGTAATGTTTGTTGTTGATGCATATATTGTTGATGGTGTTGTTGTTGTTGTTGCTGCTGTTGCTGCATGTGATGATGTTGTAAGTGCATTGGTTGTTGTTGTGGTGGTGGCAACGGCGGCGACAACTGTGGTTCTGTTGTGATCATTGATGTTGTTGTTGTAGCTACTATTGGAGCATATTGTGAGAATTGTTCAGCCGCAAGTGTTTCAGAAAAATATTCTGATTCTTCTGTATTTAGTTAACGAGTTTTATGAAGTGTTTTTGTTGTTGTTGAAGTGTTATTTTTGTTATTTTTATTGAGTTTGTTGTGGTTTAATGTTTGGTTACAATGAACGAATGTGCACATTGTGAATTTTGATGTTGATGATAAAAACAAAGTTGATGATCATAATTAAATGATGGAGATGTTGTGATTGGTAGTAGGATTAAAGATGATAAATTAAAGAACACAAACAGGGTGGTGTCATGTCAAAAAACCAAGTAAGATATCATGAAAAAAATTTAAAAAAAAAAAAAAACATAAATGTAATTATAAGTGTTTTGTGTTGTATATGTTTTTGTAAATAATATGTTTATGATATTATTATGGTTAAAAATTGTCAAAATACATTAGAAATTAAAAACAATACCATTAATTAATTCTTAATAGAGTGAAACATTTTGTATAGTTTATGGGTTGGATTTTGTTATTGTAGCAATCGTTAAAAGATTTGCAAAATGTACTAACATCTAATACCAATTGGCAGAATTGTGAAAAATAAACCGTCATTATTTAATGAATGATAAGTCTTAACCGCAAGCAGTATTATACTTCTCCACAAGTTTCAAAAAAAAAAACATCGTCACAATTCCTCTTTAAAAATTTTTTTTTGTTTAATGCATCATACATCGTTGCGTCAATGCATCATTGGTATAATTATTATCGTAATTATGTATCTTCCAAGTCTAAATATGATTACACTAAATAAAAGTTTCACCGGTTTGAAAAAAAAAATTTAGAGTAGTTAATAATTATAATTAGGAGACCGGCTTGTAGAGGATGCGGTAGAAGTAGACCTATTAATTAGTTGTACAAAAGTGTTATATGACTGCAAATCTTAGCTTAAGAAAACTTAAAAACATTTAAGTTGGTTTCAATTCATGGACAAAAATCTAAAATATCACATGTATCTATAAATGCTTTAAGTGTTGGGTATAACTTTATGAATCACGAACTGCACTATAAAAAACTCGCCGAAAAGCAATTTCATACATTTAAGCGAAAAATATTTCTTCACATTCTAGGTCCCAAAACTCTAATAGAGGGAGATAACTTCCATCATTCAAGATACAATGAGAATGTCAAACGATTTTAGAGAAACAAACTCTTACAGAAAAATTAACTACTACTAACTGCCATGTACTGATAGTTTGCATAGGCTAAAAATGAAAAACATTCCACAGAGAATGTATATGAATGTCCAATGGTAATCACAAAATCGGCAACTATTTAAAAGCTCAAAACACATTGAGTTACAATTTATTTGAAAAGTTAGCTACTGTGATTTGCTCTCAGAGAAACTGTACATTTGTTAATTTTATATACAGGCCTATTCTGAATACTCCCAGCGAAAAAACTCCCTATTCCCACGCTGTTCCCGAACACACAGCTCCCTTATTCTAAATCGCTAGGGAGACAGCAGTTTCGTGAACAACAACAATTTCAAATTTGTTTTGTTAAATTTTGGCAACCATGCCACTTTTTAATGACGAAAAGTGAGAAAATGAGCAAAACAAAAAAAACAGTTGCGTATCATATGTTGATTTAAATGTTAAAATCGCATTATTTGTTTGCTGCACAAATTATTAGAAATAAATATAAATAATTTTATAAGTGATTAATGAAAAACTTTTATTTTAATGAGAAAAATAAACATATAAAAAGAATTGTGCAGTTGTTGGTGTTTATTTATATAAAAAATTTTTAAAAACTTTAAAAATGCATTCAATTGCATTACGAATATTAGCAGAGGATTTGGCTCAAGAACATGAGCAAGAAATTTTGAAACAGAGGATCAATCGGAGAAACTTGAGAGACGCAGCAAATCCACTTGAGCTGCCTAATTTCTTGTAAGTACAAATGTAAATTTAATTTGGTTTTAAAATAAACTTTTTTTCATTATAGATTTCAAAAATATTACAGAGTAAATAAACCAGCATTTATTTACCTGTTAGAGGAACTTACTGAGGAACTACAACCAGCAAAGAAGCAGTTTGCAGTTGCTCCAATTGTGAAATTGTGCGCTTGTTTGCGTTTCTTTGCTGAAGGAGCTTATCAGACGTCAGACATTAAATATCACATTAAAATATATTCGAAAAATTTATTATTATTGGTTACTTAAATGTTAAATTTAACTCTTTTCTAAATTTTTAACTAATTAAAAAAAACCTTACGTTATGATATCAATTCTTCAATGTCTTTATTTTCAAACATTCACTGCTTTTATATAAAATTTGCGTAAATGATAATTTACTTTTTTTATATAATTAGGATAGAAATGTCCTTTATGCTTCAATTAATGAACTAATAATAGTTTATACCTGTGCAGATCTTACAATAAAAAGAAGCAATGTTTTACCTGCACATAATTGCAGTTTATTTTAACTTATTCTAGGAATCCATTTATTTCAGAAATTGGTTTCCTTTCATTTTTCTATTGTTTTAAAAACAATAGTTAACACTTTAATTAATGGAAAAAACCCGTGTGAATAAAATAAATAAATAAAAATTTAAATATTTCAAATTTGTTATACTTTTATTAAAATAATAATTTTAATAAAATATATTAAATGAAAATTTTGTTATATTAAATTTACTAAAATATATTCGGAAAACTAATCAAAAAATAAAACTTTGAAAATATTAAATTTATTGTAATAATTTTATTATAATAATAATTTTACTAAAATATATTCAAAAATCTGATCATTTTCAGTTACTTTTATATTAAATTATTTTTAATTTACCATTTTTAATACTTTTTTAACTTGTGTCCCCAACAATTTGGTAGGGAGAAAATTTGTGCAAAATTAGGAAAAAACTCCCATTCCCATGCGATTCAGAATAGGGGAATTGGGAACAGGGAACATACCAAATTTATTCAGAATAGGGGAATTGGGAACAGGGAACAAACTCCCATTCCCTTGCGATTCAGAATAGGCCTGATAGTTTATTCTACATGTGGAAAAGTTTCACCGTTTTCTTGTCTAGTTTATTCTTTGCTTTATAATAAACAATTGAATAAAGGATACGTTATTGTAGATAGAACCACGATGGAACGTTCGCATTTTTACAGTTATTTTCTATGGCGTTGGCTTTATATAAGTTGTCAGTGCTTAAACTAAAAAACTGAAGAAACATTTTAGAACATGTAGAGACAATGATGGCAATTTATGTTGATGGACAAAATCCATTTCGCATCGTAGAATTAGAAATTATGTAAAAACGAAGGGAATAAAAAAAACAAAAGTGAAAATGACTCAAAATAAAATGAAAATATCTAAAGAATAGGTTTCATATCATCTCTTTCTTCTTGGACTTTCAAATCAAAACAGGTCCTTGAGTGTTATGAGCTTCTGCAATCACTTGCAGCTCGGAATAAGCTAAGCCTTTACTGGGTTCCGGGCCACAGAGGAGTTTTGGGAAATGGAAAATCATATGCGGCTGGAGTATTGGGTAAACTTTTCAGGACTCAGACAAAGCAAAGCACTGATAACACTGTACTCCTACAAAGACATTCTTAAATTCTCAAAATGTAATTTAAGGTTGATAACGGGTTTCATTACAGGTCATTATGGTCTGAAATCTCACCTTCATAAACTACAATTATCTGCTAACTCAGAATGCAGATTATGCCTCGAAGATGAGGAAACGACCATGCCCATTCTTTGTGACTGTCCAGCTTTAATAACGCACAGAAGAAACCTGTTTCATAAAGAATTTCTGTCACCAGAACAGATTAAGAACTCTTCTCTAGATTTAGTTCTAGACTTTATTCACAAAGCTTTAAGGGGCTTTGTCGCAGTACCGGCTGTTGGGAAATTTTTACGTCTACTCTTTTAATAATAATAATCTGTTAATGGGTTGAAATATTGTAATATAATATATAAAATTAATTCAATTCCATGAATGGGACTAGGTTCGAATTATTATTAAATGTAATTAAATGATGTCATTTCTTATCAAATGCTGAAGAATCTTCAGCAAATCTAAATTTTCACTATTATATTTCAAATTTAATTAACTATAATAATTACTTTTAGGAAAATAATCCACTATAACAGATTCTCTTGTATTAATATATAAAGTAAATAAATTAATAACTTTGTTAGGTACAAGAATATTCTGTTCAAGACATCAAATATCCCGAAAGAAATATCTTCTCGGTATGCATAGTGTGTCACTTTTCAAAGAAAATTCAAATATGCTAAAGAGATTTGAGAAGTCTAAGTATAAATATAGTATTTGATTAACTATTACATTAGATTTATTATTATAAGATTACATCTGGAAAACCAAATGGTTTAACAAGGATTACAGAGGTTAGCAATTCGCCTCTCCTGGCAAAATTTTTGAGGGTAACACAATGGGCAATATATGTCCGAGTGGAAGTGCTGACAACGGTCAGCACGCGCATTCCGAACATAACCTAACCATTAGATTACATAGTATATATTTTGTGTAGATTGAAAAAGTAGATTAAGAGAGATATATATATAGAAAGAAAGGGATAAAATCTTAGAAAATGTACTCATTTATGTAAAGTAAAAAAAATGAAAAACATTAGAAAATACAATAAAGTTGAATAGTTTGTGTAAGGATAATTATAATATAGTATATGTTTTCTCCTTATAGGATTTCGTAATTGCATGTGGTTAATGAGTAATATATAGTGTTGAAATATTATGTGTTATAGGTTTTATCACATTCTAAATTCAATTAAAATGTCAATTAAAATCATTCTATGACTACATCGTAAATGATTTCGAATGATTAGTTCAATAAAAAGATATAAAAAAAAAATAACAAATTGAATAATAACGTTAAATGGGCATTGATTCCAGTGAAAATATTTATTTATAGACAACATTTCATTTGATTTAGGAAGGAAACGAGCAAAATTAATGTGAAAATACAATTGTTTGAACAAATATTACATCATTTTGAAGCATTGCACGATAGAAAATGATTTCGTAACTATTTTAAATCATGACGAACAACAACAAATAATTAAAATGATTTAAGCACATTAAAAAGTTAATATGCCACAATACGATTACGATTACGCATTGTATGAGTTATTATTTTATATTAAAAAGCTTCTGTGTACATTTAGACTAGCTATAAGAGAGAGATTTTGTTAATAAACACAAACTTACCACGGTTATCTGCAATTTCGGCGGTCTCACGTTGTTTCTCCATAGCGGCCTTTTTCTCCAAGTCACCATGATAGGCCACATTCGAGATGATTTTCGTATTTTGTTTAATTCGCAATGTTTCGGGATCATCGGCGACCTAATAGCAAATAGACATTTTAAAAGTTACTACTTTAGCAAATATTATTTAATTTAATTTGATTTAATTTGTATGGCAATATGAGAAAGGGGGAATGACAAAAATATAAATACTATTTTAAAAATTATCGAAAAAATTAAATTCTATAAAATAGATAAGTCAATGATTTGTTTAGTAAAAAAAAGAATTTCAAAAAAGTCAGTATAATATCCACTTCAAACATGAAAGAGAACAGTTATTGATTTATGTCACTCGGTTTTAGATTAATACATTAGCACTTTTTAGTATTGAACAACATATGAAAACATAGATTTTCAAGAGAAATAATTTTTTTTTGTCTTTTTACCGAAATCAATTAATATTTTCCTTATTTTTCTATTCCATGCTTTTAGCGTAGTTTATTTTTCAAATTTTACATAATGGAAACAAAAATACTTGTAGAATAGATATTCCTGATATGATATACTATGTTCAGCAATCCTACTATAAATAAATAGAAAAATATTTTTTGCGCTAGGTTGGATTTTCCAAATATTTCTTAATATCACCTTATGAAAAACAAACCATCAGAAAAACTATAGCACTCTTTTTTGAAAAAGAGTTCCTAACATAAAAAATGATGGAGTATTAATGGAAGAATGTAATCCTCTTAGCGCTACACATTTCTATTTTTGAGGAAGGATGGGAGTTTGTATTGTGATGCATAAGGCAAAAATGTTCAAGTTTGCTTAAGACACAATATTCGTATCTCAAAATATAAAAAAAAAATCTTCATTAAAATGCAATTTTTAAATTTGTACGCTCTATTGAAGATTGAATATCCCTTTTAATCATGCCTGTCTTAGTTGTGGAGACAATGATAAAAGTGCCTCTCATCTCTGAAACATGCGCGGTGCTGCTTTATCATTTTAGGGGCTTTTTTTTTGAAGATTTTAGGCAACTGCAAGACCTCCCCTTCAATAGCATTATAAGCTTTGCCAAAGGTGCTAAGTAGTTCTAAGCCTCTGAATTATGCTATATATAGTAAAATCATGGGTCTATAGGGCTGAGTGGATCTCTTTAGATCGTTGGTATAACCTAACCTAACATACAAATCCGTTATTGCTACAAATCTAGATTTGAGCTTAGCAGCATCAAATTAATCTAATACCATTGAAAAAGTAAAAAAGAGAATTTGAAAAAAATTAGATCTTCTATATATAAATTGAGTAATAGAAGAAATTTGCGTAATTCTAAAACTACAAGTACAATCTTTGATAGTTTAATAGCATAAAAATGTAGCAATCAACAATTTTACAATTAACCAGATAACAATTTATTTACACAGAACATTTCATTAACAATTTTTAACAACTTGTTTTCATCATAGTTGTTATCTATCAATCTACAAGTTTATTAAAACATGAGCGGTTTGTAATTAGAAGTAATTTTTATATATTAAAGAAAGAAATTGCTTTTAAACAAACTACCCGTCAAAGACCCCGCACAAAAATTTAAAGTTAGCCATTAATATAGACAAATCTTCTGTTATGAGTGTTCCTCTTCAATGTAAGTGCTAATTTCTTAAATATTTAAAAAATGTAGACTTGTTAAAGATAAAATATACGCTGCCAAAAGCAATTTTACTCAAACTCAAGTCAAATCTTATTCTTAATGTAATAAAATGTGTATGTGTAAGTTTGGATTAGACATGCCGTTTCTTATAAACACCCACTGACCTGTGTAAATTTGCCTTTAGCCTTCTCAAAATCTGCGTGGTATTTCACATTTGACTGTATTTTTGTATTTTCCGCTATCCTCTTCAGTTCGGGCGTATCTGCAATTGCTGTGGCTTTGGCCTTTGGAATGTGTCTGCAAAGATTTAAATAAAATAAAATTAAAAAATAGCAAAAATCTTTAGTTTGCAGTTCGTGATAATGTATAAATATAAAGTATATAAAAAGCATTATTGTCTGCAGTTTATTTTGCAAATTAATTTATGTACACCCTGTATTTTTATTTCACCTTACATATTTTATATTTGCCTATGCAATTCCTCCTTGGCGATTTTATTTATACAATAAACATATACAGTAAAATAAATAAATATATCTACATATAACTGGTAACTTTCGTATCTTATCTAAACTTTTTTATTTGATAAGAATATTTATTCATATATTTTATACAATATATATAAGCATGCAGATGTGGTGCAATTATCCAGGTGTTGGGATTATTTTTAATATCATACCATAAAAAAAATATTTTAATAATACAAATTTAATGATAATGAACTGATTTCCATGAAAGAATAAATAATAATAATAAAATATACTTAGAAAATTTTATTATTCTGAGTATTGCTTTAATGCATTCCGCAATTGTAGGTAATTGCAAATTTTTATTTACAAATGATTTATATATATATATATATACTGATAAGGAAATTATTGAAACATTATAAGGGAAATTCGTAAAAATTTATTAATGAATAAAATTCTTTAGAAGAAATTTATTTTTAAAAAATTGAATGAAACTTTCTTAAACATACATAAAAAATTGTAGCAAGATTTTTTATGCACATTTTTTTTAAAGTGCAAATTCCGGTTACCTTTTACACAGAATGTGCACGTAGTTGTTTCAAATGTCCGAATGTAGTTAGTAATAGTTAAGAACTGATTGGACTCAATAAACAATTTTTATTCGATTTAACATTTAAATTGTAATAAACTATTGTAAATAAATTTATTTATTTGTGAGTTAATATTAAAATTACTTTTAAAGTTAAATTACTATAAAATAGGGAACTGAACTGTTAGGTTATTTGCCCTAAAAAAAAAAATTATAAAATTTATAAAATAATTGTTTTAAAAATAAGGATTAGTCAAAGATAATAGACAGATTTGTACATACTAAATAATGGAATGTAATAATAAATTTTTTAAATAGTTTTTGCTAGGGAGTTGAAAAAGTTTAGATAATTGCAGATTTTAAAGAATCATTTATATATTTATTCCTATATTAAAAACACTTTTGATGTAGGTGTATAACTCAATTATCATTTAATCAAAAATTGTTGATAGTCATAGTACTGTCCCAACTTAGAGCATATATTCAATCTAATTTAGTATAAGGTATATCCTGGTAGTAAATATTTACTAATTACTAACAAGCCCGTCGATTTCTGACTCGTATACCAACAGCAATTTTACATTTTAGAATATCCTTCTTTTACATAATCCCACTGTTTATATAAATCTGAACCGATTTGATCAAGGCTTTGATTTCACTAATGTGAAAAACGTTTTTTTAAAAAAAAAAACATAGGTTAGATTTAATCATTTACTGCCATCAGCAAAATCATATTAACACCTTACTAACACTATGTGCTTTCTGTTTACTCATTGTCTAAAATATATTGTGGGTCTACATGACCGACCACAACAATAAAACAATGGTTTGTCCGTGCCTAATATAAGTGTTTAGCAGATATATAAATAAGGCCAAAATTTCTCTGTAATGTGAAATGATATCGAACTTGTTTATAAGTCTATATATTATACAACCAACTTTATGTTGGTGGACTAGCAAATATGAATGTGACATAAATATAAATTAAAAGCATTATGCTTACTATATAGACACATTAATTAATAAAAATATATTAATAAATAGAAGTCAAAATATAATATATATTACGTTGTTAGATTGAGTTCAAATTGGAACTTTCCTTAATAAAATACTAATAAAAAGTTATTTTTATAAAAAGTTATCCCTAACTTTGTAGTAGGATATAACAGATATAACACGAATTTGTTTTGTTTGCATTACTCACGAATGATAATCGACTGAGGCTGTTAAGTAATAAATAT